ACAAATGAATTCGTTGCTAATGCAAGGACTATTCAAAAATTAAGCTAAAGACTTATCTAAAGCTGATTTCGTTAGGCCTGCACGTAAACACGTCAACTTGATACACTTGAGTTATTACGAGTTTACCTAGTCGGAAAAACAAGAGCGAGGATCCGGCGACACGACATGCTACTCAAATCCGATTATCCCAACCCTCATATTTAGTAAAAATAAGAAGAAGAGTGTGAAGTTGAACCTGTATTCTACAAGCATCCAGAAAGTACGAGATCCGAATGCACAAGAGAATCAGGATCCCGGGCTAGGGGTCCGGGTCCGGGTCCGGGTCCAGGTCGTGGTCATAAAACGTTGCAGATAATGCGTATTTATACATTTTGGTCGAATAGGAAACATCATCGAATTCTTTGGCACTGACAGTTAAGACGACCAATAAGAAGTAACATTTGAAGTGACATTAATAGTCAGAACAACCAATAAGAAAGGACATTTCAAATGACATTGACAGTCCGGATGTCGACCAATAAGAGACAACATTGAAGTATTTGACTTTGACAGTTAAAACGACCGTAATTTTGACCAATAGAAATCGACCAATAGGATTTGACGAATAATTCTGTTAGGATATTAGATGAATATCCTAACAGATTTCAACAATACAATGAGTGTAATCCAATAAATAATAGTAAACATTTCAGAATTTGCCAGTTTCGACTAGTATTGAGGTAGACTAATACGAATCACCAATAACTATAGCCAACTACTAGTATTTTCCTAAGAAACTTTTTTAAAGATACTTTATCACCGTCATAGAATACTTACAAGAGAATTCGTGAAAGTTTATTGCATTCTCCGCCACTTTTGATATTCTGTGAAAGTTGACCTTTCTTGACCTTTGTTCACTGTAAAACCATTAAGCAAATCTACTGTTTTTCAATTAATGAAAAAAAATTTTCAATGACTTTGAAGTGAGTGTGTCGTGTCAATTTGTCTTCATCTCATTTTCAATAATATTTCATATACGGTCGTATTTTGTTGATCAAAACGTTTTTGATTGTGGTCAAGTGGTTATTGATAGTCACAAACTTGACGTGTATCTTCTGTGTGTTTTGGTGAACATTTATTTCTATTATGATGATGATTGTTTTGTTAAAAGGTTACAATACGTGTCACTGGTTTTTTCTTACTCATTGACCTGTTTCGTGAAACATTTTTTTATAATAATGTTTGTATTCATTCAACATTCACATGAATGATGATCATAGAAACCACACCCAATATGCTGATTGATTATTGAACGTGTTGCACTAATCAATCAATACGTCTATTATAAAATGATCGGATCAACGAAGTATTTACAGTTTTTTTTTAATTTTAATCTTTTCTCAGAATGACAGAAGATTAAATGATCAATGTTAATCCATACGACGATCATTTAAACAGAATTTTAATTTGTTTAAATATTTTTAATGTTTAGTTTTTGAATTGTTCTATAAAAATTTTTCAAATTAAACCAGTTGATAATGTTATGCGTTCCATTTTACGAAACTCCTAAACAATGAATAGGGAAAGTACGAAGAATTGTAGAGAATATTTAGAGACTTGGTACTCAGGTCAATCAGAAATCAACCACCACATCGAAATTGACCCAATTTATCAATTAATCAGGAAAACCATAGGCAAGCATAGGATGAAGAAACAGATCAAAAGGAGGATACAATCAAAACAAAAGTGAAAACAAAAACAGATTTAAGGTCAGTAACACAACCAATCAAGACCGAGGTTAACTGAACAAGAACAGAAACAATCGAGAAAGGTTGTTGTATATCCTCACTCTACCTGAGGTGTTTGGATACAGAGCTTTTTGGATGCTAATAAACTTTTCACAACCATCCTTCTTCGATAGGCAGTCTCAGAGAACAGTCCCGTCTAATTAACTGACCCTGATGTCCAGAAACAACAGTTGTTAGCCTATGATAAATAAGTATGAGGGCGACCCAATAGTTGATGGGGACGAAGATATGATCAACATATTTTTAGTTGGCAAACGCCTTTAAACAACGCAGTCACTCTCATAATATATGGGGATGAAAATAAGTCATCTGATCCTAGTAATTAGTGGCGCTCCAAGAGTTGGAGTTGCTTACAGACTTCTGACTCATTAGATAGATCACTCATCACTGACCATGGAGAACGTGATAGACTGACTGAAGTCGCCGGGGCAACAGATCAGCCTAACTGTTCCTGGGAAATTTGTCTATCATCCTAGAAGTTGGTGAATGTTACTGATTGGTGTCCCGCCAGCTTCCTAGATCGCTATACCCGTGGCTCAGATTTGTTGAAAAACCTTCCGATAGTTGCCAGATGCATGCGCTGCCTTCATATCGTTAGCACGTTTCGATGACCAGGTTTTCCGGGCCTCATGAAAACTTTGCGCCGTTTGATTACGTAACAGTCTCGTTTGCCGTCAGACTTGCGATTACCCAAAGTAGACCGACGTGCCTCAACCATTTGTGAGGAGTTTGTATAAACTGTTTATTTATAAGCGGGACGTTTCATGAAGCTACCAGCAACTTTACTAACCATTTTAATGCCATCGTGTAATCTCATCCAGTGTTCATCTATACTTTAGTGTGGTCGATAGCTAGCCTTGAACTTAGCCCGGTTTGACGCTTAGTTGTAACAGACGCTGCAATCAATTTACACAGATCAATCCAGTCTGGAAGATGAACTTGTTGGCCACTGAAACGTAGATAAGACTAGCTCAAGCAGGCGCATGATTAGAGTTCAGACAAGTACAACAAAAGAGCGGCAGTCTCATCACAGTTCCAGGCAATAATAATAATAATAATAATAATAATATTTAATCCCAAATAAATACTTTACAAGAGGCATACCAGTTTACAGGCTAGATCAAATTGTCACAAACGCTTTCACATTTACTGTAAAAGTAATCGCAGTTAAATTAAGTATGAGAGTCAGTTTCTGATAGCACATTTACACCATGTCACTGACAGAAACAATAAGATACAGCCACATTTTCTATAGGAGAGTACAAACAGGGAAGGTACACAGTAGGTTTCTTTGGGCGGTTTGCTGAGATCAATAGTGAATTTGTTGTTGGGAAAGGTTAATTGGAACGCACTAGATACAAGCTGTTATCGGGACATGCATGTACGTAGGGTGCATTTTCCATAGAGGAGCCATGGATTTCCCACCGTGAATGGAGTTCTGAAAAGGGAGAAAAGAGAGAGAAAAAAAGGCAGCAGTGTGACAAGTGTATATCTATAACCAAAGCACTACTTAACCTGTCATGTTGAAGTAGTCAGTACAGTGGTAAGACAGACGGACAGACAGATACAACGCAGAATTTCGTACCTATGCACATAAGTTCAGATTGCCATACCACATTAGCACAGAGACGCAAAGGTCAAATCAAATCCCACAGTGATAAAGATAGTAGAGGTATTAATGGCAATGAAGAAGACTAGGGTTCGAAGATATTATTCAAGAAGTATAATTCAGTGAGATAAGGTTAGAAAGACAAAGGTAGAGGCGCTGACGAATCCAGAAGATTAGGATTTGAGAGAGCTCAAAGAATGGATGCACTTGCGCCATTACAAACGATTTTGAGCCATGTCGTTCAAGGTCTCTAACCATTGTTGACTTTCGTCTCGCGGACCCCAATCAGGTAGTCTACATCTACCAACATGACTCAGTCCACTTGTCAGTGACTTCATAGATTTCTGCCATGTTTTAGTTTGGCCACCCCTACTTTCTTCTAACCTACTCCTACACTTCAAAACATAGCTCGTTGCGGCAGTCACTGGTTGCGCATATATAACACATGTCCCAACCACCTCAACTGATGAAGTTTCAATACTTCATCTGTTAATCTTCCATCGTTACCTAGTACTCGCTTCTTAATGGTGGGATAGCTTACTCGGGTGTCCCACGATACACGAGCAATGCTTTGAAGACATCTGTAATCGAATACTAGTAACCTACGAATATCTTCTACTCTTACCGGCCATGTTTCGCATCCATATAGGAGAAGGGAGCGAACTGCTGCACAGTACATAGTGATAAGTCAAGATAAAAATACTGACTTCTAAAATTAAAGTAAATTATGGGAATATAAGAATGTAACCCACAAATGAAGGAGTACAGCAATGAAGAAGGAAGAATTTTGGAGAGTATCAAATGGATAGAAGAGAAGTTGAAGTAAGAAGAAGCTGGATTTATGTACGTTGAAATTGAAATTTCAGTTAAAAGAGTAGAGTTTTTTTAAAAAAAAACATTGATCATCAAAAATTTTCACTGTCTAACTGTTCTTTTTCAAAATCGAATACAAACCTCTAAGTTATACTGTAAGCGCCTGAATAAGCATATTACAGAATAACGACCTCAGTGTTTACTGATTAATCGACTCATCAATCAATAGAGCCTAAAACCCCACAAACATGGTTGGTCTGAAGTCATCGCCTACACTATCAATATTTACTAGTCAGTAAACACAAATTCATAAATCTATACTTTCTTACAATAACAAAATAACATTTGAAACATGCGTTGGCTGAACACGAATTACAGAAAAAAAACAATTACACGCACACACACACACACACACTTACACTTGATTACATCAAAAATTACATTATCTTTCACAATCTATCAATTAAGGTCAATTGTTTCATGATGATTATATAAGTCGATGAGATAAACCATAAAAAAAAAGATCACGATTATATAATGTAATTTTTGACTTTTGTCATTCTACACTTTAATTCTATACAGAACGGATTAACTTTTACACAATTAAATCTGATCGGATTTTAAAAAAACTTTCTTTTTCATCTTTTATTTGATCAAAATGATAATAAAAATCCTTATCAAATTAAAGATTATTCAATGATCTGTTGTATTATGAATGTATATATAAACGCAGAGAAAAATTATTCAATTACTATTATAATCATTCAATAAAAAAATTCACAATAATCATTATGATTTCAATGAAACTGCTAATTATTGTTATTACTATTATTATGAATGCAATTCCTTCAATGTTAAACATTCATTGTATACCGATATTAACATTAAACGATTTGGACCAAGCAATAACTGACTTGAATAATCTCGTTACAGCAATCCAATCACAAACACAAAGTCAAACATCTAATACTGGAAGTGGTATCTCTGTAATACAACACCAATCTCAATCTCAATCATTCAATGGTAATCAGCTCAGTGGTCATCAAGTTAGTCAACAACAAAATCAACAACAAATTCAACAATCAGCTGGTACACAATCACAAACACAACAACAATCTGTTAATCTGAATAATCCACAATATAATCAAAGAGGTGGCGATGCACAGTTTCCAGTGGATCAATTCAAACCTTCAACGAATCCACAGTTACATGTTGATAACTTGCCTACCAGTCAGCCGCCACCACCGCCACCACCGCAACCGCAACCTCAACAACCTGAAGAACAACCGTCTCAACAATCACAAGGTGGTGATCAAGGTGACTCACAACAACAGTCACAGCCTGAGTCACAAGAACAACAACAACAACCTGATTCCTCACAACAATCTGATGTTAGTAACATAATAACTGATCAACCTCAATCAGGTGATCAGTCTCAACAAACATCAATTAGTCAAGATGAATCACAACAACAGTCACAACCTCAAAATCCAGATTCATCGCAACAATCTGGTGATCAACAACCTAGTGGTGCTAGTTCGAATCCTGATGAATCACAACAAGCTGATCAGCAACAACAACAACAACAACCTGAACAGCAACAACAAACTGAACAGCAACAACAACCTGACCAGCAACAACAAACTGATCAGCAACAACCTGATCAACAACAACAACAACAACCTGACCAGCAACAACAAACTGATCAGCAACCACCTGATCAACAACAACAACAACCTGACCAGCAACAACAAACTGATCAGCAACAACCTGATCAACAACAACAACCTGACCAGCAACAACAAACTGATCAGCAACCACCTGACCAACAACAACAAACTGATCAGCAACAACAACCTGACCAACAACAACAAACTGATCAGCAACAACAACAACAACAACCTGAAGACCAACCTCAAGAATCACATGATGACGAACAGGGTTCACAAGAAGAGTCACAAACTACCACTGTATCCCCATCGACACCAACCAATAGTGATTCTGATTTAATTAATCGTTTACTAGAATTAATTCGATTACAACAATTGATTATTTCAGAAATAACTAAAGGGCAACCAATTGTTCCACAACCGCTTCAAACAACTGAACAATTGTCAACAACAACAACCACAACGACGACCACTTCACAGTCAACAGAAGTAAACAACCCACCGCAACAGCAACCACAGCAACAACAACAACCAGAAGATGATGATGATAACGAGAATGACGATGATGATGGTGATGAAGAATAATTACAATTGTAATCATAATTAATTAAGTAAGTAAGAAGTAATCAATGAATTATTTTTATTCTCTGATAGATGATACTACTTACTGATGATAATGATGTATCTTGAACATTGACAATTCTGTTTACACAACAACAATAATAATAACAGTAATCATAATAATCGGTGTGTTTGAACAAATCATATCGAACAGATGATTGATTGATTGTGTTGTTTGTTTTATCTTTCAGAGATTAATCGATTCGATTACTGTTTATTTGTTTTCTTTGTAAAAACTCATTGAATTAAGATTATTAATGTAAAGATTGTCATGTTTGAATGTGTTTTTATTCCTATAGAATACTTCTTGTCATTTCGAATGTATTTTTTCAGGAAATTCAATATATATCGATCATTGTTTTTATTCTATTTCACAGTGTATTGTTCTTGCTGTTAGTTTTGATAAGCTGATTTATAGATTTATTGATTTTCATTGAAATCATGATTTGGTCAAGGTCATTGAAAACTTGGCAGCACTAGATGACTGTTTCTTTTTATGCTCATTAGTTATGGATACGCTTATTACTCTGGTGTCCCATAAAACTCGACATCCTCCAAAACTTACTTTCTTACTTACTTACTTTCACCTGTTACTTTGAATGGAGCATAGACCGTAGACGAGCATTCTTCAACTTATTCTGTTATGAGGCCTTCCTTTTTCGTTCTATCCAATCGTTTGTATTACGGGGTTGTGAAGATTGTTAATTTTTTTTTCTTTACAACCCCGTAATACAAATTACCTGTGCTCACTAGTGACTAGCTTCGTGAGGAATCTTCTCCGAGTTCTCGTGAGAAGACGTGACCATTGAAGTTCAACCTGTTCGGGTGTAGGCAATGTCTACCGAAGACTGTATATGATGTTGCGAAACTCCGTGAATCGATCAAGTCAGACATTAACACCATCAGATACCGGCTCAGTAGTCCGGTGGTTAGGCGTTCGCCTACAATACTGAAGGTCATTGGTTCGAATCCTGCGGGGTCCAGGAGTAGTGGTTGCGCACTGCTGAGGAATCCCATACCAGGACGAAATGGCCGTCTCTCAGTGCTTCCAGGTTTCTAATAGTGGTCTAACATTGATCTATCCAATTGTCGTTCACTCGTCTCATGTCTGTCTCTATTTCACGGCATAATATGTTCATTGGTTTTGCTCTTTTCCTTTGGTTTTGACGATTTCAGATGAGGGTTTTTCTTACGACGCAGCTTGGATGCTTTCCTGAATATGTGTCCTATCCACTCCTCAACACTACCTCTTGATTTTTCCCTTAGCTGAAATCTGATTTGTTCTCTCTCACAGTAGCTTTTTGATGATGATTTCTGACCGACGGATCCAATCAATCGTTCCTTATCAATGTTAAATGTTATTCACTTTAATTTTAAATTTAACTGTGTTCATAAGACTAAAATATTCGAATAAGTGAAGGATTGTTTTCGATTACTTATTCTTCATTTTCATTCAATTATTATTTTACTACATTCGAAAAAATACTGTTTAAATTGATCAATGTGAATAGATTGATAATTGTTGTAATAGAGACTTCATCATGTTGACCTTTTTACAAGTCACCCTATAAAGGTAGTTAGTTAGTTAGTTAAACTAGTAAGCATACATTGATTACACTATCATTTGGTAATTTCGTCACTGATTCACTTCGTTAACCAAGAAAGCTTCATGTAATGTAGAAATGTGTTAAAAATTTATTTGAATGAACCTAATTAGTTGATGTGTGTTCGAATCGCACTCATTACGTCATCTTTTAAGCCAAGTCATAGATATATATATAGTTTTCATTTCACCTATGGCAGTTCACGTCTTACTTTTCGATATGTTGATAAAATTAATAAGATATCAACTTTAGAGTAATATCATGCTTGGTCTGCCTGAGTAAATAGTCTATTATAGTATCTTGAAAACATAGTCATTGGATTTCTGTAACTTAGTTATTCAATTAAAATTACATATACAATTGGCAAAGTATTTTTTTCTTTTCGGAACTAATCCTACTATTTGAAAGATGGACATCAAAGTTGAATGATGAATTTTATTCAACGAGAAAATATTAGTGAACAAAGATTGACTATATTTACATTGTAGTCGTTTTTAGTGATATTGACTAATGTGTACAGAGGAAATGTATGAGATAAACAGAATTAGATTTGTTTAATAAATGGAATGGTTTTTAGAGTTGACTGGTAGATTTAACAACGATTTACTTTATTATAAGTTGAAATCTATCAAGTTAACGTTCACAACTAACACACACTTAGAATTTATTTTGTTTAATTGAAAATATTATTAGATATGCATCAAAATTTTGAGAAAAATGACCACTTGGCTCACGACGGTATCTACAAAGAACTGCGATTTTTCTAATACAAATGAGAAAGAGTAGAAACTAGAATAAAAGGAAGTGAGACTCAATGAGACTTCGTTGTTGATAATTCGTATGTTAATAAAACAGGAAACAGGACCCCTAGTAAGACCTTATATTTTGAATAGAAGCAACAGGATTTTGAAGAGGAACAACTCTATATACATGGTAAAATCCAATGATTACTGGAGTATATAACAAATTTAACACGCAGTAACAATCGGTCTGATTTATTTTCTGGTTAGTATTTTTCAGCAAGTTAGTTTATAGTTGGGATGGGGGCGCCAACCCTATGTCCTGGTGATCGATTGGATTATGAAGACATCGACATCTGGAGGGAAGAACGGTATACAATGGAGAACTAGGACGCAGCTGGACGATCTGGACTTCGCAGATGACCTGACTCTCCTACCGCACACGCAACAACAAATGCAAGAGAAGACGACCAGTGTAGTAGCACAAGGTCTCAACATACATAAAGGGAAAAGCAAAATTCTCCTATGCAACACAACATGCACCAATCAAATCACTCTTGATGGAGATGCCTTGGAGGACGTTAACACCTTTACATATCTTGGCAGCATCATCGACAACCAAGGTGGATCCGATGCAGATGTGAGGGCACGGATTGGAAAAGCAATGGCTGTATTTCTACAATTGAAAAATATCTGGAACTCCAAACAACTATCAGTCAACACCAAAATCAGCATTTTCAATATAAATGTCAATACAGTTCTACTGTATGGAGCGGAAACTTGGAGAACTACGTAAGCCATCATCAAGAAGATATAAGTATTTATGAAGAGTTTTCTTCGCAAAATACTTCGTATTCACTGGCCAGATACCATCAGCAACAACGAACTGTGGGAGAAAACAAACCAGATTCCAGTGGAGGAGGAAATTAGGAAGAAGCGGTGGGATTGGATAGGACACACACTGCGAAAAGCCCCCAACTGCGTCACGAGACAGACCCTCACATGGAACCCTCTAGGTCAAAGGAAAAGAGGAAGGTGAAGGAACACATTATGGAGAGAAATAGAGAAAGATATGAGGTGAATGAACAAAAACTGGAAAGAACTAGAAAGGGAATCCCAGGACAGAGTTGGTTGGAGAGAACTGATCGGCAACCTATGTTCCATTCGGGTAACAGGCGTAAGTAAGTAGGTAAAGTGAACAGTCGGTCAGATAACACCAAGGATCATTGCATAATCATGATTTCGAAAAATGTCATCCAGGTCATTCTTCAGAGAAAGAATTGATATATATTAACAAAACACTATTTACTCTGAACTTTTCTTAGTACTGTAGTTAGTAAACTAATTCAGCTAACAAACCCATTGCAGTGAGCTTGATCATAATTGTGAGATGATCTTAAATGAATTAACTCCGTTAACCAACTGATAGACATAAATTCATCAACCTGAGTTAGTTTTAGAAAAATATCCTAACGAGGATTTATCAAGCTGAAAATTCCCAGTGGATTATTAAGAACTGTCAAACTAAAATTGCTTAACACTGGTTTGAATTTCAATTCACTTCCCTCAAACATGATCACTGGGTAATGTAAATTAATCTCCACTGAGCAGTGGCCAACGTCATTTTTCTATGGTCCTTAGTGCTGATCGAATTCTATTGGGTAAATCATAGTTTGGCTATTGATAGAAATATTTAAATATTCAGTGTAATATATTGAGATGTTAATTGGTTGGCAGTAATCAGTGCGACACCATGGACTTGAGATTCATACTGACAAGTACGAACTAATATTACTTTAGAAATTTTTGAAATGAATGTTAGTTTTAGTTTTTGAGTTTTCAAAATAGGTAAACTCTAACTATACGATCATCACTATTGTGACTTCAATGTCAGATTATGTAACTTACATTCTAGTAGACTAACATCTTTACTCCGTAGACATGATAGACGTTTAACTACACCTTTCAGAAAAGACAGTCCATCTCCTTTTGTTGAGAGAGAAGTTTGAAAGCAAAACGTCAAACTGAAAAACCATATATAGTTTTAGGAACATGTTGAAGCAGTAATTTTGAAAGACGACTTACGAAATCCTAGAGAAAACATACCATAACATTAAGCTTTCTCTAGGCACTCTTCATTTTGTGTACATGACAACGATAAACTCCTCCTTTAAGTTATATCAGTGTAAATTCATCAGTCTGCTTGGTCTCATAGATCTTGGACTCATAATACAAGCTCTGTTTAAACTCATCTCTAGACATTACCATATGTAGTTATTAGAAGGACAATATAGCGCAGTCAACTGACCAACTGTGAAGCATCTTATCAATTCTAGTCATAGTGACCCACTAGACATATCTTTAACAATCATCTACTCAGTCAAACAGTTAAGTTCAGAGCGAGTACAAATCACTGACTTATACTTTTCAAACTAGAACTATGTATGCAAGAGCAACATGACCAAATTCTCATGATTCTACACATTTGAAATCATCAATCAATCATTGTTAGACAACCATTAGAAACCTGGAAGCACTGGACAGCCGTTTCGTCCTGATGCGGGACTCATCAGCAGTGCGCATCCACGACTCCTGCACCTCGTAGGATTCGAACCCGAGA